TAATACTCTCATGAGATGCAAACCCTTTTCCGTCCACAGAATTAATGAATTATTTTCTTGAATTCAAAAGAACTCAAAATAGATACACAAAATCAGTGCATGTCAAACTTAAACTGGTTCTAATCATTTGGCTTTAATCGAAGACGGAGAACTAACTGTTGAGACTTTGATTATTGTGACATATACTTCGTAAACTACTTCGATACGTGAAGGTCGTGTAGATGTGATTATATGGACATGTCTAACACACTACGAGAAAAATAGCATTTTGCAGTAAGTTTGTTCCATGTCTTTATCCAAGTGCAATTGTGCTTTGTGACCTTTGATGTTGCCGTAGAGTAGACGAATATGAAAACGGACAATGCATGTTGCTAAAGATTTTAAAGCACATTGTTGTTAAAGCATCTTTATTCGTGGTATAAAACAAATCTAAATTGTGATTTAGATTTCTAAAGTGATCAGAAACCTCTCCAATGGAGAGATTCAAAGGAAATGTAAATTACATTTGTTCGGCAGAAAATGGAAAAAAAAAATGTAAATTTAGATCTTCCAATTTGAGCAAAACTCGAATTTAGATCGACTAGAATGTAAATGAGGATGCAAAAGTAATTTTGAAGATACCAATTTATACTCAATTTTATATCACCATTGAATATGCTCTTAATGTTTTAGCAATGTGCATTTTGCACATTGCCATTACTTATTTTAGCAACATTCATTTGCATTTAGACGTTGCTGTTAATTCTGTGTAAACTTTTTACAAAACACACTAAACGTTACAAATGTTATTATTAACAATGGAGCAAAAAGAACTTTTGTGTTTGGTACACATTCTTTTAAAAGAATGTATTATTAAATAGTAGATTGATGGAAAATGTGTGGTTAAAAATGAAGGAAAAGTTATTGATGTGATGGAAAATATTATTTTATTGAAAAATGTGTTGTTGAAAATTAGTAGAAAAATGAGAATGAAAAAAATAGTGTGTNTAAGTGCCTCGTATGACAGGATTCTCATGTCTGTTCCCTCGGGTATTCGAAATTCTGGTTTGAGATTTAGAGTGTGTTTGGGACACATTCTTTTGAAAGAATGTATTATTAAATAGTAGATTGATGGAAAATGTGTGGTTAAAAATGAAGGAAAAGTTATTGATGTGATGGAAAATATTATTTTATTGAAAAATGTGTTGTTGAAAATTAGTAGAAAAATGAGAATGAAAAAAATAGTGTGTACCAAACAGGGCCTAAATGTATCTATTTTAGTAACGTTGTATATATATATTTTTTTAGCAACGGTCATTGCTCGTTAAATTTACGAAATATTTAAACTTTTTGGCAACAGATCGCGAACTTACAAAAGGATACATTAGCAACTTACGGCAACACACGTTTATTTGACTAATGCGATAAACCCCTTTTAGCCACACTCTATATTACACTTCTTAAGTTGAGGGAATTCAATTTATTATTGGATATCATGAGTTCCAAATCGACTTCTGTGAAAATCATGCACAATTTAGGCATTTTCACGGAAGATTGTATAGAAGACATAACTTCGATCTCAAACACTAGATTAGCATACTCAGGATTTGAGAGATTGGCCAAAAATAATTCAAAAAATTGTTCAAAATGGAAATGAACAAGGGATGGATTAAAGACATGGGAAAAGGGCTCCTCTGAAAGCCAAAATACATTTACACTTTGATAAATGGGCCTTCCATTGATGCCTTTAGTCACCTCAATTACAAATGAAAGCAGATTCTAAAGGGACACAGGGAAAGAGAAACAAACAGCAGCAACCACTGCAAGCATCATCTAGATATGGAAGCACTAGAAAGCAAAACACTTTTTTACAAGGCATAAAAGAAGCCCTTCCACTGAAAAGTTTAATGAATGCAACTTTTCATTAAGGAAATTTAATTGGGGTATTTTTGTAATGGTGAAGACTCGGTATGGCTTGCTCGATAAAGTTGACTATAAAATGCTTGAATTTATTGAAGAAAATAAATTAAAAATCTTGCAGATTATACTGTCTAATCATGTACAACCC